GCGAGATCCCGAGTTTGTTTTGCGAGATCTCGCAAAAGTTTTGCGAGATCTTTTGCGAGATCTCGCAAAAGTCCGTCTTAATTTTTTTTTCTCCCATGTCCCCTGCATGGCTCCGTAGTAATGAATAGAAAAACACAGATCATTATGTCATACATACGGGCTTTTTTCAGCTGCTTTTGTTCAGAAGTCACAGACTTGCTCAGCCAATCGATGCACTCGTTCTCCAGGTATCCCTTGGTGTACTCTTTCAGCACCTGGTTATCGTCCCACTTTGTCTTTGAGGGAAGTGCCTCTTTAACTGGAGCGACCCAGACTCTGCTTTTATCATCAAAGGACAGGAAGTCGTTTCCATCATAGTTATACTTGCTCATGCCGTGGACAAACCTGAGCGCGCCGTTAGGCTGCGTCTCACCCTCACAGCCCACCATCCACTGAAGAACATGAGGGGCTGAAAGCAGGAGGGCAAAATTAATAAATGTTTAAATAAACATCAGAGGAGAAAATATGGACATGCTGATGAGTCCATGATTAATAATTACACATCCTCTACAGAGAAATACTTATGTGTATATATAATTGGTGTAATATACTGGGACATTTATAATTGGGGTGTTTGTATATTTGTATATATTTTGTAACTCTGCAATATGTTGTATTGTTTAACTTAGTCAGTTACTGTGTTGGAGCAACTGTGATCACATCATTTCCTTTGGGATTAATAAAGTTTGATTCTGGTCTTGTTATTGATTATTGGTCCTTCAGATTTCATGGATCTTACCTGAGTGAACAAATCATTAAAACACAGCAAAGACTTACAGGCAGAGTCATTCTGTCTCATTCGCTCCATCAGGATGCCGATGTTGACCTTGAACCACTGCTGCTTGATCCTGCGGGACTGTGTGCCTTTTTCCCAGTAATCAGCAGGTAAATGCTCTCTCATCCACTCCTGTTTGGGAACTTTTGTCTGATTCTCGCTATCATAGTAATCGATCATCCTGCCGTCCAGCAAACCCATGGCTGTGAACTCGTGGATGCCCGGCAGTCCAACGGGTTTGGAGAGTCCAGTGTAGATGTAAGTGAGGGAATGAGTCTCTGAAAGTCACACAGGTAGGAAAACACAGGAGGAGGATGGATGAGCTCTGATCTTTTTACTGGGCAGGTATGTTTGAAGATCCAT